TAGCCAATTTATGACGACTACAAAGAGTACCTCATTTATTTGTCTCTTCTCCCTCTGCATATAAAAAAAAATTCCCCTTCATGGGAGGTATTAATCCCTTTGTTTAATAAACGTGCGTTTTTCTCTCTCATTTTGTCAAGGATCAAATTGAGTGAACAGGGTGGGGCATGGCTCTTCCTCCCTGCTGAACACCCCTTGTGATGATCTGTTAACGAACGGGTGTCGAGATATCTCGTTCTATCATGTCTCCCGGGAATGCATATAGGAAGGTTTTCCCCTCCTGGACCTCTTTCCTCACTTTTTCTACCCTCTCTAGGCTCGTTAATTAACTGTACTGTGTGCGATTTGAGGAGTTATCATTTTGGGGTGCCCGATCTGGGGGTATAGAAAATGCCCCTTTCGATGCAAACGAGTAGATGTTTTTGTGGGGTGACTATATTATTTATAAGCATCGAAGGAAGCAATTTATACTGTGTGTGCCTCCCGCGCAGGTATCTTTTTGAACGAAGCTTCCGAATCAACACGATGCATACCAGCTGCTACGTTCGTGCAGCTATATAATCATGCGTGCGTGGTCCGTTCCCCCTCTATGAAGAGTGGAAGGACGGCCGAACTGAAATTGCGACGTGTGCACCTGCTTAACACAACTGCAAAATGTGATGTTGCTGTGTTTTCTTTTTTTTTTTTTTTTTGTAACAAAAAGTACCGCAAATTGGAAGGTGCAATTTGTTTATCCACGCACACTCGCATGAGAACCATTGCGGTGTTCGCCTGTGTAAGGAAAAAGGCCAAAAATTTCATGACATGTTTGAATTGTTTTTTTTTTCAACTCTGTTAGCTACATGAAAGGGTTTAACGGAAAAATTGAATAAAGCTTTTACGGCATCGCTTGAAAAAAAAAAAAAAAAAAAGGAATACCAACAATAGCAATTGTTGCTTCTTACACATTTGATGTCTTTCCTCATGCGGCTTTGTAGAACTACTTGTACACGTGTAAGTGCTTACGATTGGCGTTTCATTCGTAGGGCGGCGTATACATATATGAGCGTGCCTTCTGTGCGAATATTGGCAAACTTAATCGTCCCCACTGTTAAGGGGGGATCCGCATTTTTTGTGCCGACCTTCACTTAGCAAATTGATCATCGCGCGAAAGGTTTAAGCAAAGGGGGGATATAATCTCCCACCTGTGACTATGTTGATAAATATATAATCACATGTGTTAACATATCGGTGTACGTACATCCGCATGCACTCATGCGGTGTAATGTGCATATAAGCTATAAAAAGGCAATGCCTGGTGCACAGAAAAAAGAAAAAGAAGAGAAAAAGGTTGCTTTATGTACAAAGCTGAGAATTCTATGTCGTGGGGTTATCTTACGTATGAATACATTTTTCGCTATCGAAAAAGATTGCTACTTTTTTTAAGGTTTCTTTTTTTTTTTCTTTTTTCTCACGTATTTTTGCATATATCGACGTAGGCAATGCGTATGTACCTGCAACCAAGGCGGATATGTAAGTACATATTCGCGTGTAAATGGAGTGTCCTTGTAAGAGGGCCGCAGACATGCCTCGTATTGCTTGTGCGAGCTTTTTTTCTTTTCTTCAAATTTTAGCACGGGAATATGACTGTGCACATTTGTGAGAAGCCCCAAAGCGCAACAACCACTCTGAGGGAAATTTGCACTTGAGATATTTTCGCTCGTCCCCGTTCTACTTCATTCAGATTATTCTTTTTTTATTTTAACGTATATATATGTGTTATATGTGTACATGGTTATGCTTCAATTTTTTCCCCTTCACGTTCTCTCCTTTCTCATTTACCCTTCCACGAAACGTATGTACAATCGTTACGTTATTTTTTTACCTTTCCGTTACGATATACCGACGTCTATAACCCCCCAGAAACCACTTCTTCCTTTTTTCTTTTTTTCTTTCTGATTTATATGCTCACAAAGTGGTGAATGGAAGGAAGGCGTGAAGGGCATGCGGTTTTCCCCTTCCAAAGCGTTGAAAAGCCTTTTTCTTTTTTTTTTTTTTTTTATTTCAATTTGGTACCATTTTTC